TGAATTCATATTATTCTGCACCAATCTTTGTTCTTGCTCTCATTAATGGATGTTCTTGTAACAAACGTGGTGGGATTTCATCATTTCTCTGAGTTTGCCTTTTTATGCACAAGAATAACCGTTTCGGACTAGTTTTACGATCTCTAATTAATTGTTTTTCATACGACTGTCTAGTCTTACTTGTTAAGGCTTTACAGGCATTACTAGTCTTACGATAAATAGATCTGTACTATTCTAAGCCAGGAGAAATGAACATATTTCTGTGCTTTTTCCGACGTCTAAGAAGTTTCTTGACCTGTTTACTTATCCATGGTGGACTGTTATTCGTTCTACGTGGTACCAGGTATAGTATGAACGAGGACGTAACTGGACTAAACTTGCTTCTGAATATAGACTATGCTTCGTCAGCTGAAGAGCTAGTATCTGCTGACCAATCTGTCCTAGTAGCGCACTCCTGAATGGCTGATATATTAGTTCTCCATACATTTGGACGAGGCTTAACCTGATCGTACGTCATGTTACTAGCTTTAAACGTGAATGACAAAACAGCATGATTCCTAACGGTGGAAGAATATTTAAGTTAATAATATCCTCAGTCGCATGAGTGATTACCAAGTTCAACGGAGAATAACCTTGGTTTTCACCAAAACGTGTGGGTTTGGATACATGCTATATTAATGTATGCTCCATCGGTGTTATTAGGAACTTACTATCAAAGGAGTTTATAGATCCTTCCGTGGTCATCTCAGTCCAACTAATATCAGGTACATTAAAGTCTAATTATATCAAGCATATGATATTTGCGCATCATAGCTTAATGTGCTCTAAAATCAATCATCAGCTCAGTAGACTAGGTTGCGACAGATAACACCGAGTATGAATGTACAACATTTGATAGGGAGGTCACAGCTAATGACCACACAAGTTCCAGCATCATAGGATTCGCGTTCTACCCAAAGTATATGGAAAGCATGGGAAGAGTACACTCTTACATCAACACGAGAAAGTCAAATGTAGGAATTAATCGGAAGAAAATATCCAAAATCTGAAAAATATGTTTCATACAAATAACTGGGAATTGTTTACAGATGATTCACTGGAAATCACTACTGATGTTATCACTTGTTACCTTAAATTCTGTTTTGGTATTTTTTGTTCCACTGAAACTATTTTTGTAAGTTTTGATCGACTTACATCTTCACAACTAAAACGACTACGGAGGGTGAAAGAAAGAATGTACAAAAAAGAACTCTAACGAAGGTCGTGAGCTAAATGGTTTGAAAAACCTGGAGATCAGACGTCTCAACTCTATGTCTACTCAAAAACTCTTGTCTTGCAAAAACTCTCCAAGTATTTGGAGACTCTTTAAAGAACTTACAGGTGACAGATAGTTTACGAGCGACAACCCGCTGAATGTTTGCGACTTAAATAAGTCTTTTGTACATCAGTCATCTTATGTGATGCTCCCTTTATCCACAGGTTTAAAGAATAGCTGTGTTCCTAGTTCCACGAAGATGTTTCCAGTCGCTGAATTCATTCCGATGTTTGGGACCTGATGGTGTCCCATACCTACCTTTTGAAAAAATGTGCTGACGTCCTATGTTATCCGTTCACAACTATCTTTAACAGATCCTTCTCATCTAACCTCATACCGAAAATGTGGAGAAAGATGAAGATAATACCCGTACCAAAGAAAGTATCTGGTGATAAGAATGTGAAATTTAGACCTACTGTAATAACGTCACCCTTCCTCAAAACCATGGAAAAATTACTAATAATTCCACTTCAGCCTGCGATAAAAGAGCATATTGATCCGTATCCGTTTGCTTACAGATGCAAAAGAAGCACCTTAGATGCTGTTGGTGTTCTGCATCACAATATACTGTTCAACTTAGAAAAGGGTAAGAAGTATGTTCGATGTGCTTTTCTGGACTATACTTCAGCTTTCGAGACAACGTCTAATTAACAAGTTAATCAGTGTCAACACTGACAGCTGGATAATCAACTGGCTATGTTCCTACTTCTCTGGAAAGGAATAGTACACTGTATTTGGAGGAAAGTGTTCAGAGTCTCTACTGTCTCATAAAGGTGTACTACAATGAGCTGTTCTTTCACCTCTTCTTTTCCCTTTTTTCTGCATGATCTACCATCTTACACAGAAAACACTTTTGCGAAATGTGCGGATGATCTCACTGTATGTATGCCTATCTCTTCCTCTTCACATCCCACAGAAATGAATGAGTTTTTGTCTTGTATTGATTGTTGGTCTGTTGGTAATGGTCTTATACTCAATCCGTCTACATGTTAAGCTGTTAACTTTAGCATGAAACATGAACGGAATCTAAACACCATTTTGAGATCCCATAATGCTTGTGCCATTGAAGACTCTTTGATAAACATAGCGTCAAATGTCAATTATCTTGGTGTTACCTTTTCCTCTAATCTGTCTTGGTCTTCCCACGTCTCATTGTTATCGAAGAAGGTTTTCTGTCTGACTTACTACATAAAGAGATTGCATGCTCTTGGGATTACTCGTCATTTACTCTTACAATTTGTCAATTCTTGCATATTAACTATTATTCTTTACTGTTCTCCATTATTCTTTTCCGGGATTTTGAGAAAAGACTTTCTTGTATTGCGGAGAGTGCTGAAGGCAGTTAGCAAGATGTGTGGTGAATCTTTCGAGGTCACAATTAATATGGTTGTGGATAGATATCTAAAGTCATGCAAACTCCTGACAGATGTTATTTTACCACATACTAACCATCCCTTTCAATCATATCTTTCTCCTTGTATATCTTCTGGTAGAACGAGACGTAATTACATTAAAATCCATGCACGCAAGCAAAAGTATAAGAGTTCTATAATACCTTATCTAGCAAATATACTCTGTGATGAACAGGTTGTTAGAGTTAACCTAGTCAATAACCTGCATTCTTAACATGCCTCTAATTTGAAAAGTTGTGCAGTTTTTTCGTTTTTTTCCTTTTTTGCCTATGTCACTGTTTTGCCGCTCAAGTAACTTGTTGAAAAACCCTGTGCTGATAATTCTATATTGTACCAAAATATAATATTGAATAAGGCCATTAATAACAATAATACCATGATACTATGATTTCCGTGTCAACTCAATTACTATACTAGGTCCTCTCGTATAGTGAGTTACAAGTATTATTTCAACAATTAGTTTTGTTTGGAAATTTCGTGCTCCATGCTCAGGGGCTTTGATATAGATTGGCTTCCAAATGTGATAGCAGGAAAATCCTTCAGAATAGGAATCTTCGCTCCGCTATGACGTCTTTCGTTTACTCAGTCTTGTACAGACTTTTCGTGCCTCAAGGTAACCCTCGTGCTATTGATAGAAGAAACCAGACAAGTAGTGAATAGGTCTTTACTTCGATCTTCGCGCAGTCACAGTGGAGCGTTGGATTATCTGTTCAGACAAACAAAGGGTCTCAACATTCAATATAAGATAATAGGGAATATAACGCTTATACAAAATGAGGAAGTGAATGAATACTTGAACAATACTGTTTTAGCATATGCTTGGTTGTTTGGGGTCAACTCTTAAGCAACCAACCTGAGCTGTTACAGACTTTCGTTTAATATGGCCTATGAAACTAAGATCAGTAAGCATTCCTTAAATACAAATCAAGCTTCGTAGGAGAAACGAGTAGTTAAGAAAATACGTTCGTTCCATAGTGTCAGATAAAGATTGTATCTTTATTCTGTGGAACGTATGAGTTGTAATGCCAGGTGTCTTTACGAGTAGTAGCTTGTAAAGTAAAGGTTATAATAGAAGTTTACTTTAGGTTCTTTCGAACTGACAGTTATATATGCAACTCACCTATCTTTAAGGTCTGCTATTGTAGGCATTGCTCTAACTTCATCTAAACTTTTGATCTTTTACCCCACTAAAGTTGAGGCTACAACAGTGAAGCTGTGCTTCCAGCCCATCTAACTGTTTTACGACTGGTGACGTTATGCTACTTAGAAAACTCGTGATGACTGGAGGGATTCCACGAGGTTTCCCAAGCTTTTCGAGATCTAGTTCCAGCGTCAGTTGATTCACTTTACAACCAAATGCAAGAGGCATACATCTTGTTTGTTACTGTCTGTGGTGTTATAACTCTTCTTTTTCGGAAGTAATGGTTCACTTACGAGTCTATCTACACTCCAATATGGTGCACGCTACTAAAAAGACATGTCTCGAACGAGTCTACCAGACCTGCGAGGCGTGTCCATAAGTAAGCTTGCGGGATCTTCCTTACCCAGTAGAATTATGTTCCCGCGAAATGAGTACCCCACCATCTCCAGGCTTTAGTCGAATTTTCGATAACTTCACCAACACCTTTGTACAGAGAGGTTTCGTTTACTAAAATAATTCTTGCATAAATCATGACTGTCTCTTTAAATCTTTCGTAGACATCAACAGTCAAGTCAGTGCATTTATTATAGCAGCAGCTATTACGATTATCACATTGCGTTCTATCTTCAACCTGCGAGCAACAGGTTGGTCTGCCACAATGACAGTTTGCTTGGAGCATCATCGGTTACAAATAAATAAAACCTGCGTATAAAATGGAAGATAATGCCAAAAGGACGAAACCCCACCTATAAAGCGACAAAAGACTCAAAATACGTTGATAAAAATGGGAGACAACTAAGTGACTAAACTATTCTCCAAGCCAGCATAATTTAGAGAAAATACTATCAAAAGCCTGAGACTAAACCGAAATAAACAACGAGCGTAAAGAAATCAACCAGTCTATGCAGGCTCATAACAAAGATTTTTGACACAATGGATTTATTGACTTTACTATCAACCTCAATTTTTTGAACTCCCCTAACTTCAAGTTAAAAATTTAAGCCTCTCTGAATTATGTATACATGAAAACATAATGTGTGCACAAGACTAAAGAGCTGTAAAATATCATTTGCAGCTACTAGCTAGATGTTTGAATGTTTCGAATATTGAAACCTTAGTCAGTGTTTTTCAACTCTACTGATTTTTAAGCGCACTTTTCGGCTCTCACGAGATCCTTGCTGTGAAATGAGGTAATCGTTGTGTAGCTTTATTTTATGAACTTTCATCCACAGCAATCTACGCGCTCAAAAGCGTCTGGCCTCGGCTGTATTCGGTTGTGGAAAAAAAAAGATTTGGCTAGATCCCAATGAAACTGCAACCATTCAAAATGCCAACTCGCGTAAAATGATACGAAAGTTGTTTAAAGATAACTTGATTATTCGCAAACCTGTGACAGTCCATTCTCGTTCTCGATGCCGAAAAAACTTGATTGCACGTAGAAAAGGTCGTCACTCGGGAACGGGTAAAAGAAAAGGTACAGCAGATGCACGTATGCCTCAAAAGGTCCTGTGGATGAGGCGAATGAGAGTTCTTAGGCGTTTACTTAAGCGGTATAGAGAAGCTCACAAAATCGATAAACATCTGTAAGTCCTAATATTAATCATATATTTTAAAGGTACCACTTATTATATCAACAATGCAAAGGGAATCAATTTAAAAATAAAAGAGTTCTCATTGATCATATTCACAAGAAAAAGGCAGAACGTCTCCGAGCAAAACAGCTCAGTGATCAGGCAGAAGCACTGCGTCAAAGGAAGCGTGAGTCCCGGATAAACCGTCAGCACAGGCTCGAAGAGCGAAAAAAGGCCGTGATTGAGAGCTTTAATACAGCTGTTGCTAAATCTACAACTCCAGTCGCTCAAAAGCCCACCCCTTCAGTGGAAACTAAACCTAAGGTTGAAGTCAAGCCAGCTCCGGCCCCTGCACCAGCCCCAGTAGTTACACCGACGTCTCAGCCGTCTGTTGAAAAGGTAGAAGTCCCAACAAAACCTGCACCTCTCAAAGTGTCGAAAGTTGCACCACCACCAAAAATCCCAACTGCAAAAACTCCTGCAGCTCCACCTAAAATACCTGAGCCTGGTTCAGTCAAGTCAACGTCTTCTAAAAAACCTGCCAAGCGTTAGTGTGAAATAGATTTCAAAATGGTAATATGTCTTTTAAATCATATTCTTGGGTTAGCTTGCAATTATCCGCTGTTGTGTCCATCCTTTGATTGTATCATGGAGATACGTTGTCTACATCAAATAAACTCAGGTGTTTGAACGAGTACGGAATTTCGGTAGTATGACTTAAAATACCTGTTATCTCATCTAAGTACTGTAGGGATTTCTATAATCTTTGTTGTGTATGTTTATGGTCAGGTTTATACAGTGGTTGTATTATATTAGTCCTGAAAATAACTGTATTTTCAACGTAAAAGAATATCGACTTGTGTTTCATGTACGATGTTTGTCAGACGTCTTTGTATGCACACGTGCCAATCTATCCCTGTAAAAAGTCAGTGATTATCTATCATTGTGACCATCCAATAAAGCTCACAAGTTTCCAGTCACATCTATAATGTGCTTTCTCTAGTACTCATCTGTGATCTGCACCGCAACCTCTGATGTTGGCTCCCAGTTTGGTAAGATGTTGCTATTTGTTAGTTGACGACAATGTGGCTTTATCGTCAAGCTGTTAGGAGCGGTTGTGAAGTTCCGAACGTCTTGTGTCGAAATCTCTAGCAGATACTTGTAACCACTGCAGTTCTTGAAATTCGAATGTTTAAACCTGGGTTTTGTAGTTCGTTAACGATTATTTATTTGCAAGAATAATCTTTTCAGATAATTGAATCAGATGTGCTATCTATATGGCTCCACTTACTTTAGTAATCTCTAGCTACATCACTCCATACTGATCACGCGGGCTATAACACACTAGCTCTGTACTTGAGAAATGAACCGGAACTTCCAGATAATTGTAGGCTAGAAGTTGAAAGATTGGTCAGGCTGCGAAGAACAAGGACCTGTCATTAGTCTAATTTGAATAAAATAGGTTATGGAAAAACGGTTCAAAACAACTTGTTCGTAATACTCTCCATGGAATATGTTGTTTTCGGTGGCAGACCACTCATATCTACTGAAGTACGTTTTGATTTACGTCTCCGTGTTTGGTTTTTATACTAATTCGTGAAGACAATTGTTCTTCGTGTAAGTCCGTCCAATGGCTAGGTGTCCACTCGATACAATCATTTGAATTCCATGCATCATGTACCATCACTACATATTCAAGTATCAAGTATAGCTGCGAGGGTATATGTTATATCCACGGACTAGTTGGGTTGCTCAAACTTATACTGATGAAAGTTTCGAGTAGTTGATACACATGGACACCTTCGTCACTGTTCATTACTCCACGGACCCACTAATTATCTTTGAGTTACATAACCTTCAGACTACACACATGTAGGTGAAAACTCCAGAATCTGCTCACCTCTATCAGCTCAATTAGGGTTAAGATGTGCTCACTAATCCTGCGAGCTGAATTAGGATAACACGTCTGTTACTATGAATGAATGACGGACTCTTGAAAGACTTATGCAAGCTAAGAAATAATAAACTTATGACCGACTTTAATGACTGTCCAATCTAGTGTCTTACTTAAACTATCATATAGATTTAACCAGTTTCACTAGAAAAATGCATCCAATGATTGCTAAGAACTTGGTCTCTTGCAAGTAGTGTAACTGCAAAGTACTCAATCCTACGAGGTTAATGATCACATCTGGTTGTGAGCCTTGTAACTTCAATTTGTGGTATATAGATTATGCTGTCAGCTACAACGTAGGACCAGGCACATATATGCATCGGTCCAAGTTGCCATTACCTCATTAGCACAACAACATAAACTCCGAATTCATAAAAGTAGTCACTTAAATGGTAGTAATATATAAAAGGAAGATTGTGTATAAGGTTATAGTACAGAAAGAAAGAATACTATACTACTAGATTATGCTGTGGACTAAGGTCACTTAAATTTACAATGCAAACACCAATTATTGATTAGTGTTATTTACGTAGTTGGCCAATATTTGTTATCTAATTAAGCATCTTATTCCAAATCGTTTATCTGGTTTCACCCTTCCCTTAATTCCTCAAGTTGAACAGGAATTTAATGTATGACTCGTTAATGTGATAGTGAATCGCGGAGGTAGAAATGACGTTGAATCCTAATGGCTATATATCAGCAGGAGCAGATCAACGATCTATAGAAGTAACGAGATTTGAATAATAGCAGAGTAAGTAATGGTAAGAGAGTCAACATATTTGGTAAAGATTATTGAAGGTCTTAAGTAGTACAATATTTTAGATCTAGAGGTATAAGATTGATCTTCAACACAAATGCCCCGGTGCGACCGAGGGTGGGGAGATTCCGCCCTCCCTCTCAAAAAGCTCTCACATGGTCACTGCCACGGAAGTCCTGCTCATTAACCAACCGAGTTGGTTGGTGTGGTCGATCCACCTAGGGGAGTTGAAAAACCTTAATTCCAAACTAATGATGTACATAGGCTCCAGGATCCTGACTTATTTGTTTGAACATATAAGTATTGGTACAAGAGAGCAGCAGATATATGTGCGCCACACAAAGCAATGAGAATGGGAACAAAAGAACGAATGTAAGGTGCGTATAAGAAAGAAAAAGAGAACAACAATGACCATAGATTAGTGTATGGTAGTATAATAATAATAATAGTAATGGGGGAAACGGAAAGCTACAACCAGAAAGGATTCTTTCAGTTAAGGAAGTTCCAACCCCTTTTTATGAAGAAAGCAAAAGAAGGTTATATCAGGATCGCCACTGGCTTCTATTCTGAGCCATATCTGATAACGTCTCTAGCCACTGTGTAGCACCATCTCTCAGACCCCAACCAGGGAGTCATGAAGAACCAACAGAGGCCAGTCCTGTGCAGCTTTCTTTCATACCACGACATCAGGTCATACACTGACCACCTCCGCTTTTTCCGACCAGTCCCAGCGTCGGCAAATCATGCACAACAAGAAATTCTCTGGGGCAACATTTGAAGAACATGTCCAAGCCACCGAAGTCGGTGTTTCAAGATGTTGACACCAATTGAATCATCGTCTCTGTGCCCGAACACACGATGCTGAACCTCTGCATTACTAACATGGTGTTGCCACTGGATGTCAGTAATCCTTCGGAGACAACGATGATCGAATACAGAGAGTCGCCTAGCATTCCCAACTCGGAGAGGCCACGTTACACAGGCATAGGGCAATAGTGTTCGCACTGACACATTGTAGATCCGATCTTTTACAGCCAGACTGACATCACGAAGGTGGCATGATGGCCCAGATTGGCATAAGCCGCTCTGGCTTTCACTATACTTGAATCGATCTCACCACTCACGCCACCAGCCCTTATGCAGCTACCTAGATGCACGAACTTCTCGACTACTTCTATCTGCTCACTACTCAGGGTGAGTACATAATCAGGGTTCTGCTAGTCTTGTAGAATTTGCACTTGGAAGGTGCAAAGCACATAGCGTACCTACGGGCATTGATTGCCAACTGATTAAGTGCGGATTGCATGGCTTAGGCATCATCGCACAGTAAGACAATATCATCCACATACTCAAGGTCGAGAAGTCTTTCTCCAGGCAACAGATCCACACCGCCATTAGTTACATCTATCAGAACTGTTTCTAGAATGTCGTCGGTGGCAAAGTTGAAGAGGTATGGTGAGATTGGGCAACCCTGTCTAACCCCACTGCCTGAATGGAACAATGGAGAAAGGTGGTTGTATGGCTTCACTCTACCTGAAGTGTTTGTTTATAGGGCTTTTATGATGCTAATAAACCTCAGGCACACTCTTCTTCAATGGAAAATCCCTGAAAACAGTCCTGTCCAACGAATCGAAGGCAGCCCTGATGTCAAGAAATACTGCGATTGTTGGCCTTTGATAAGTATGGCGGTGTTCTAACATTTGGCGGAGGGTGAAGATATAATTAATACATCCTCGACCAGAACGAAACCCAGCCTGCTCCTCGCCAGTCAATCTTTCTCGGGTTTAGAACAACCTACGAAGTATGACAGAAGCCAACAGTTTTGAAGGAACTGGAAGTAGACTGTCCCCCAATAAAATTTAAAGAGATGATGTGAACCCTTTTTAAAAATAAGGACAATTATCGACTCATTTCATGACGTTGGAACATTCTCTAGTTCCCAGACCTTTGTAAACACCATTGTCAGTTCCTTAACTAGAAAGTCACCACCATATTTAAAAACAGCCGGGTGCAGATCGTCTGGGTCCGGTGATTTGTAGCGTTTCAAGAGTTGGATTTCCTTGTGAACTGTCATTCGAGGAACTCTGCTCATCTTCCAAGACGTCGATGGGTGTTTGTTATTGGCATCCCGTCATACAGATTGCTTCGCTCATACCAGACTTCTTGCTGCCAGTGGCTTGGGTGAGTTGAGTGAGCTTCCGGTTGTTACCAGATGTAGCTGTTGCTTCTAGCTCACTAGCACGCTCCGACCACCAAGCTTCTCGATCCCTACGCAAGCTTTGCTCGATTTCATTACATAACATCCTTCGTTTGTGATCAAACTCACGGTCATCCGGAGTATACCGACGGGTCTCGATGAGTTGTAGAAAGCCTGAGGAGACCCAGTGCTTATAAGCGGGACGTTTCGCGAAGCCGCCAACGGCTATACTCTTCATTTCCATGGCGTCATGCAGCTGCCACCAATACTCATCTATACTTTTCGGTGGGATGGTAACTAACCTAGAACCTAGCTCGGTTTGATACTTAGTTGCAACAGAAGCTGCAATCAATTTACTGACATCCATCCTTTGGTGACGGTCACTTCGTTGGCCACTGAAAAGTAAGATTGGCACACGCCAGGGCATGATCAGAGTCCAGATAGGTACTCTGAAAAGTGACAGTTTTGTACACAACCACGCCAGCGGTAGCTGATCGCGATGTGATCAATCTGAGTCCAGGCTTGAGATGCAGAGGGAGGACGCCAGGTGGCACATCGGCGATGACTGTGCTGAAAGTTAGTGCTAGCCAGAAACAGGTTGTGGTCTGTGCACAGTTGCAGTAGACGGTCCCCGTTATCTGACCTGCGACCAACGAGTCCCCATCGGCCACCTAAACGACTCTCTTCTGTGCCTAGACGCCCGACCTGAGCATTCAAGTCTCCGGCTAGTACTACAATATCTGTCGAACGCACTTTCTGGAGAAGAACTGATAACTGGTGGTAAAACTCATCCTTGATTGCATCCGGGCTGCAATCTGTCGGGGCATAGGCGGAGATGACGAAAAGACATCGTTTCTCACGCCGATTTCTCCTCAATTCGATGTAACTTTCTAATCTAACAGCACATATCCGACTGTTAACGGGGATCCAATCGATTAGTGCTGCCTCAGCTCTAGTGCTTAGTGCGACATCAACGCCACAGGGTCCCCGGATAAGCGCATGTAAAATAAGCATTTTGAGGCGACTGATGGAGAGCGAATTTGTAGTACTGTACTAGTCTGGAATATAGCGGACCTCGATATTAAGACCTTCTAAAGACATAACCAGTCCTATCTGTTGTCCGATCTGCATTTGTGTGCGAACGTTGAAGGCAGCCAGTCTGAATGGTGCACGTGGTTTCAGAAAAACTTTCTCAGTATTCGTATTTGGTGGTGGCATTCAATTTTCGACCAGTCACTGACTCGAGATCATTTTGATAGAACAGAGTTTCTACCATAGGTGAGCTGCTGTATAAGTCGAAAAATAAGGGTACACAAAGTGGGAATAAAAGAGAGTGAATGAGTGACGTGGTAAATAATAATAATAATGTGGATTGTTTGACTGTTAATCGAAGCAACAATAGTATTTACCGTAAGTATCGTCATTTCATTCTGTTTGTGTGTGAGCTGTGATACTGCTCAGGTGCCCAGACGGAAGCAGGTGGTTTTCTTAGGGAGCCACACTCGGAGCCTTTGGCCTAAAGTTCCGACCCACAAGGCAGTGGGGCATCGTGAGGAGATGCAGTCCCATGGTAGCCGGTGACCAAGAAATTGGTTCATACGCCATTTGTACCTTCAGGATACTGTAGCCCATGTGCACCATTGGTTTGGAGTCAGGGTTTCCCAACTCCCCTAAGTGAACCCTCCATGTCCACCAACCCGGTCAAAGCGCCAGACATTCGCTTTCCGTCCTCTCAATTTCGTAAGCAAGAGCAATGTCACGAGGAGGCAGTGAGTAGGACTTCCCTGGTAGAGGCTGTATACACGTGGCCGTGTAAGAGCATTTCGAGAAGGAGGCCGGGCCCCCCACTCTCGGCCGTATCAGGGCATTTGGGCGCATAGGTATTCAATCGCTGAAAATCGTAAATACAGTAGTCGGTAAAAATTTGAATGGACAACGCTTGTAGAGATAAATTAATGTAACCAATTCTAATCTCAGTCTAGAGTAAACATTAACACGACGCTCCATCATTCGTGGGATACGTTACATCAACATAGTTTTCAAGGTCTGATATCGATAACGTATCCTTCCATCCTAGCGTTTTATCAGAAATATCACATTGAAACAAAACAGTTGACGAATATTACCTGGACATGATAAAAGTCCTCGTAAGATGTTATAAAATAATTTAGATTGCTGATGTTTTTTAATTGAACAACCATTAAAAGCAGTAGTGTCAGTCATACGCAGTGCAAAACTTGGAACACGTGTACATCGGCTCAAGCCGCTAAACCCTATTAATATAGCGAGATGGGATTGTTAGGGAGAATCCCAGATAAGTAGATTCAGTAAAAGTATCCGTGGAGATAGGAAAGATTAGTCATCGAAGATACGACTCGAGAAGAGTATATGGATTGACGGAATAAAAGTATGAAGGGAATTATATGATAATTTAGCAACTTAAAATCTTTAAGAAGACAGTGAATTTACATGCTCCGTTGTGAACTGTTTCAAGCCACCATCCAGTCTGAACATTAGCTAAGGCAATCGCGCAGACCTCAACCAGGTAGTATAGCTTAGTTCAATAATTAATGTCTTCATGGACTGATACCAAAAACCATGGCGTACTCAGCACCTCACTTGCCATATAAACCGCAAACTGAACAATATTCACAAACCTATGCAAATGATATTTTGCTTGAATGCTTAGGGTTTAATTAATAAACTGATATGAAGTTTGTAGCGTAACATTTTATTACTAGGAGTCTGTTAGTAGTGGAGAATTTATTGGTTCGAAATTCTATGATCGAAGTCAGTTCGACCTGTATCAAAAAACATACATCTGCAATTTTGACGGTTAAGTCTAAATCATCCAAAGACTTTGTAGCTATACTATACGGGTCATCATAGGCCGACTGGTAACACTAATCCGTCACGTTGTAGTAAGCCTGATAAACAAGGTTGTCTATCTTAGCAAACATCCATTTTCGACATTAGGGTGCGCACTTTTGGCTTAGAAAATAAACGTAATACACATTGTCTTTGTTAAGCATTGTTACGAACATATTAAACACCGCGATAAAAGTTTGAAAGAAAGTTATTTCCAGCATAGTTGAACATCATAAATAATTGACGGTTCTAGTGAGTGAGGTGACTAAAATTTACAACAAATTAACAGCTAAATGATTATAGTTATTATCAGTTTAGGG